AACATGATATATCTGATACTGTTAATCACGTACAAATTATTAAATTCTATCTCTTTGAGGACGTATTTGTTCGCCGTAATTTTACTTAACCCTTCCGTAATCTAATGAAGGAGAACTTCATACGTATATAAGAACAAACTCTTGTTAATATACGATGTATGATCTTAAATCGATCATGTTTGCCACGATCTATAGAAGAGATCGTGGATGAACAATCTTTAGTCCTATAGTTCAAAGATTTGTTAAGATCCTGTTACACAATTTACAGTATAGAAGGCTTTTTCTTTTTCGAAATAGCTCATCATTTTAATATTCTTCACACACATTTCTAGTTAATAATTTTTACTACGATATGAGAAAAATAGAAAAAAGTTAATCTATGAAGAATGATACATGATTAATGCACGTCAAATAAAATATCGAAAGAAATATATGAAGGAGAAAAGAAAAAAGAAATTAACTGTTGGTAATTAAATATCGAAAGAATATATAAGTATACAAAAGAAAAACGAATTTTTTTTTCTTCAATTAGGAATTATTAGACAAAACGAAAGAAATGCCATCCTCCTTACTCCAGATGAAAGTATCGTTGCTTTTGATTGACTACGATTTGAACGTCCGCATGCGCCAGCCATAGAACACTTTAAACGATTGAGTAGAAAATATTGAATATATTTATTGCAATAAAAGAGCGAGAAGATGAAGGAAGTTGCCACTATATAAAAATATATATTTATATATCGAAGAAGTGAGAAAAGGAATGGCTCGTTTCAGTTGCCTACTCACATATTCAGCTGTCACACTCGTTGTTCCGCGTGTTGCTAATTTTTTTGTGCTGATTTATATGCATATAATCAATTAGCGAAGTCGACCTTTCTTTTTTAGTATGTATACGTAGCATAAAAATAAAGAAAATCTGTCTTTTAGCGAGTATTGAATTTGAACGAACGAAAAAGATAGCATTAGTTTACGGGCAACGACTTCTATGAATGCGCATTTATGATTGAGAGATCAACTGTTAATGGATGATTTTTCTTCGTCTCACACAATATTCTTGCTGTGACAGTGGCATCGTCTTAGCTTTCATTATCTGAATTTATGTGTAAGCTCTGTACTTTGGTTTCTTATTTCCCTTTCACTAAAATAATGTTCATTATGGGGCAATTTGATACTTTTCTTTTATAGTATTGCCATTATTTTCTTTCTTATCTAGATTTTTATATAAATCTCTTTTTCTTTCTTTCGAATCACTATAATAACTTAGTTTTTTGTTATTAATAGAATTACAATACCAACAAGGGCAAATCGACGACTGATGATGAACACATCATAGTAATTCTTCCACAATATTCATTTATATTTTCTTTTTCTTCGAATAAAAGAAGAAAAAAACTGACACAATATTCACCGATCGTGATTTTCAGAAAAAGATGAACGGATAAGGATATGAGCGGGTGTGAGACAGCTGTGACATATGATATATTTCTATTTCCGTATTCAACTGTTTATTGAAGAAGAAGAAATCAAATATTCTATAGTAATCTATACTTTCACTCAAGCTACCACTGTTAAAAAATTATCTTATCAGAAAAGTTTTAAACATGGCAAAATAGAATTTTTATTTTTAATGATTGTACTTGTTAAGTACTATTTATCAATAGAATAAAACAGGCAATAATTGATAAAATAATTCTAATTAAAATTGATAGGATTTGTTTTTTGATAGTTGAACAGTGAGTTTACCACAATATTCAATCAATTGTGATAATAAATCGAAGATTTATTGAAATAATCCAAAAAATAAGTCAATGCGGACATGAACCTATAAAAGAATAACTTGATTTGAGAATAGTATGAATAAAAGTCAAGTGTCGTTAAAACTAGTTTTAAGTGTCAATTCTGTATGAAAGAAACAACAATAAATTCAATGCAAAATAATAATCTCTGAGGAGCCGATAAAATGATTGTAGTATTTTTTTGTAGAAGATAAATTGATCGATATATAATTGATTTTCTGCGTATTTAATACTAGGATTCAGGGTTATTTTAACGTGTAAAAGAATATATATATATATATTCTTCTTTCCATGAATAATATTTGCTTTTAAATTTGAATCAATTTGCCTTGATTGCATGTAAGTCTGAGTGTTTTTATGAGTTGCTATAAATCTGTTGAGAACGGAACCAATCGGTCGTCTAGATGAAATTGATAATAATTACATATTTTTCTTCTTTAAATTTGCTCTTTTTTCATGCGTTTTTTGTTTGCTTTGAACTCAAGGATGTGGGCGTGAGCGTACAGGAAAATAGCACGCCTACAGAAGCGCACCCTCACTCCACACCACCCCAATCCGGAGTCCCACCAGTCGCTTTTGACTAGTCGGCTTGCGTAGAATCCGAGCGGATTCATTCACCTCGGTAAAGATAGTTCTCATTTGTGTAAAATGAGGAAATAAAAAATGTGGAAACTTCGGATTTCATCCGAGAGCTATGTGTACTGCAAAAAATGTATGCGACATATGAGTCATTCTAGAATGCCTGAACACGAAAATTATCATGAGAAACTAGACAATTTGATTTCTGGATGGAGTTTTTGTGAATTTTGAGACGTTTTTCAGGCGATGTTTCGTTAGAAAGCTATGACTTAGTTCAAAACTAATATCAGATTTAGAATCAGCGTTAAAAACTGAGTCGATTTATATATGTTGTGAATAATTCTGAGAAAATTGTTTTTTTGAAAAATCCCTGTACTCCCCCTCAGGGATGGTCTGATCAAAAATGACAATTTTTTCGACAACTCAGCCATTTCTTGACGGATCCTTCTCATCTTCGAACTCGACCTAGATATTGATAAGCCAATTCTGTGCACAAAATTTCAGCTCAATCGAATGTAATTGTGAAGAGTTATCGAATAAACGGACGGACGGACGGACACACTGACCGATTCTATAGTGTACTCTTTTTTTTTTTTGAGTACACAAAAACGACCGAATTTTTATCAGTGGCTATAAAACACAGCAGTTTTATACTTTAACAAATCGGATGTTCATCGTCGCATAGAGTAGTTTGTCATCTGCTGTCGAAAGTAGATGAACAGAAAAATTCTTCTTCATCTTTTCATGTTAGGTAAATCAAGGAAATAAGTAACAACATGTATGTGATATATGTTTATCATCGTTGTATTATCTTTAAACTTGAATCTATTGAATAGTACATTAGATAATTCTTCGTCTAGATAAGAACTATTCTAGATATTTCGTATTCTCAACGCTACGTAAACGATACTAAACAGGTCAGTTCACGTACGCGACCACAGATTCGACTATAGTTTTTATATGTTGAAGAGCGACGCTTTCAATAAGAGTGCACGCATGCCCTTTTCAAAAAAATTTGCCTTCGTTTGCAAGATTTTGAGCTTTATGTGAAAGCACCTTCATTGAAAACTTCTATTTTTTCTTACGTTAGATCTATATCTCTTTATGAATATATATATTACGGTTGACTGTTTTTACGATTACTTTATATCGTAAGTTTAATTTTTTTGCATAAGATATCGGGGTCAAATGAATAAGTCTTTACTTAGTTTGTTCAAGCTGTCGAATAAATAAAAAACACTTCAGTTTTTTGTATGTTCTCCATATGCTTATCGATTGAATGCACAATGGCACAGAGCTAAAATCATGGCTCTTAGGAAGTATTACAACTACATAACGATCAGGTGTATACATGTATAATGCTTATGGTTTTAAACTTTGTAATACAAAGATATGCAAGAATTGATCCAGGACATAGTCAAGCGGCGTGCGAGAACTTTGCGAGACGTTAAGCCAGAAAAAAAGACTGTGCCCATGCAGAATTCGTTCTGATTGTATGAGAAATTATGACGTGTGCTACATGATGCGAAGTAAGTTTTTATCAACTATACATCAACATATAATTCCTTATAAATTCAGTTATAAATTGAATTCTTTTTGTTTTTATTTTCGAAATGAATTATGTACAGGATTCAAGATTATTTTATTAGTATGTTGATGTAATCTAACTATTCATAGCGTGAGATTGAAGAAAAGTGAAGATGGGATATGGAAGCAGGACGATTTCTTACTAGCTGTGTTTTGTCTTCTTCATATAGTTACTTTTTCTTTGTGCATTTTGTTGATATGTACTTTCCATATCTCACTGAATTATTCGTTATACGCACTCGTTATTTAGATGCATTTTTTGCTTTCGGCTGACACTGCACGAAGATGAATCTAGGTAGTTATCATTGTTTGTTTGTGTACCTACAAAGTATTAAATCATATTGGAATGTGATTACTATATTTATACGGTAGGAATCTCTCCATTATACACAAGTTTTTGCTTCTAAAAAGTCAAATGCACCATCAAGAGAATGTTAATTCGTTTTTATTCACACGGCTATCGAGCTAATTTCCACATATCTTTCTGATTTGTATTAATAAATATCCGATATTAAGCGAAATTTCAATAGATTCTATTGAGTAAAAAATTAAGTTTGCCTATGACGTTCGGGTGACGTAATTGGCTATCGATGTGACTGCTCTGTTAAATCGTGATTATTCAATTAGATGATGCAGGCTGTATTGAAATTTGAAAACAAACCCACACAATAGCTATGCAAAGTTTAATTTAATGTAGATGTCGTTCGAATTTTTTTTTCTAGCAAACCGGTTGCATTCAAAAATTTTCGAGAAAGACTAATTAACAATTATTTTATTGTAGATAACTGTAATTCGTAACGTGTAATATTTCGATGAAGATAATAAACAAGAAGAAAAGGTAAAATAAATATTAGATGGGCAAGATATAGCTAAAAATATTTTAAAATGTTAAAAATAGAAACTAAGCATTCAATACTATTAAATGTCTTCAGAAGAAGCGCTGCGGGTGTATTTTTGCTCGAAAAGACAGATACTTGAAGCAAGTGGATATGAGTTTAGAGTATGATATTCAAGTCACGAACATTATTCTCTAGTGATTTAAGCAGTGCCCGATTTGAGAACGCTATCATGCCCGATTTCGAATTTCCAGTTCTTTTCTGGCGATATGACACCATGAAAAGGTGATTCGAGTACTTGTTTATTTCCATTGGCGTGGTGAACCGTAATCTTTTGAAGAAATTTTCTTTGTTCATATCCATCAGCTTGTACTGTCTTTTCGTGAATTTCGTGTGAACCATTTTTAGGAACACGTGCCTTGATTGTCTCTTGGTGATTAGGTTGAGACCCTGCATATTCGATCTCGATTTCAACATCATGATCACTTGAATTCTTCAAATTAGCCGAATACACATGTTTCGGTGGTCCAACATGACACTGTGTTGCAGCCATTTTCTCAGGAAGCTTGAAACGAGTTGTTGCTTTTGTAGCTTATTTCTAAAATGCACAAAAATGAAGTATTCGAATGTTTACCACTTTTACGCTCGCTTGTGTGCATGTTTATCTAGCCGGTAAAAAAAGAACCCAGTCGCTTTTAAGCAGTAATGCAATTCAAGACGTGTTCCTGTTTCATGCGAGCTATTTTCATGTGTGCTGAGTTATGCTTGTTTCAATTTAGTAATAAGCAAAGCATGTCTGTCACTTGTTGCAAATTTATTTGCTTCTATTTCTGTTATTAACGGGCTGCGACGCACGTCTTTTTCTCATTATTGATGAATTCTATTTAAATTAGAAAAAATTTCCATAGTGATTCATCGAAGCGAAATATTTTTTTCTTTCTTTCTGCGTATTTTACATTTTACCTGTCAATATTTTGCGGGTACCTATAAGAGCATTTTCTCAATCTCGCCATGTTCCTTGCCCCAAGCATCCATAGTATTGCAGAGTAGAAATGTCGGGCATTACTTAATATTTGCTTGGCAGCTCTAGACGAACGCTCATAATTAGTCTCAAACATGCATGAAAAGCACTATAATTAGCGAAAATTAAAAACAATACATAACGAGATCTTGGCTCTTCTAGAATGAATAAATATTTAAGGCTCCATTCCTGATGTCGCATCACCCTGAATAAGAGGTGATCCCAGAAAATGAAAAAAATCAATTAATAACAAAACAAATCGCTTCATCAGATGTAAACAACAAAAGTGATAAGGTGTGCAATAGGTTCATTTAATTGGTGTAATTTCATTCAAAAGAGATGCCAATACTTTTAAACATATAATGAAAACAATGTAATACATTATTCAGTCACTGTTGACTATTCGAAATAATTTACTCGGTTTAAATTTTTTTTCGATGTTCTCTTATAAAGCCTTCGTCATGATCAAACAACAACGAGATTATGTACATGAAAATTATTTGAAGGCTAGTACAACGTGCAGTAAAACTTCTCACTTAAAAAAAAACACTACCAATTAGAAAATGGATATGAAATAAAATTCATAATTCTAGAAGAGAAACCAATCGATGGTCAATGACCGCATGTTTGTGAATCATAAAATCAATGGTAAATGCCTGTCGTATGATGAACTATAACTTACTTGATTGAAATGAATTGACGGAATACATCCCAAAGACCATATCGATGGTGCTAAAAGAAACCGAACAAAAAAATCGGTAAATGTTGATGCCTACGAGTGAAAGAAACCTAGACGCTCATACATTCACCCGGACACTGGCGTGGCATCCTAAATATTAATAGTAACCATCCTTACATATACATTTCCAGTAAATCTCACTATCGAATATCTGCAAACCGTTCACATTGAAATTTGAGACAAAAATGCAACCTCATACTTCCAACCAAAGGGTTGTCTAATTTACGAGGGTTACATGGTCGATGCAAGATGCCTTCTAATTGAACAATCATCTGTCAATTGAAACAATGTGCATAATATCGAGGTTACACGAGCTAAGGATGCCATGAAAACAAATCTAAGGTCTTAACTTATTACTGCAGAGATCCTGTAATTTCAGGATATACTTTAATTCAATACTGTGATCTGTCTCAGGAACTCTTTTTTTTTTTAGAATTTCGACATAAAATTCCAAACAGAAACTAGACTAAATAAGAATAGTTTATTGTGAAAATTTCTAGTCGTTTAATATGAATCTATTCTGAAATGCGAATGTTTATGAGTACTTTCACATATTCGTACACATACAAAAAGAAAATATGAAACTATCAAAACAGATTATTTTCATGGAAGTCCATCTCATTGTAGATTTACGAATCCAAATTCTCTCAACAAATATTCAGTTGCAAAATATTATCAAGATTATATGTCTATTCAGGATACTAAATTATTTTGTTGACGGTGGCTTGTTACAAAGTTTTTCAATTCACAAGTGATTGGTCATTTGGAAGACTACTCTTGAAAACCATTTCTTCCTTAGGTACATCAATCAAAATCGGGAGAACAAAATGTCCCTCAAGCATCTTCATCAGTTTTATCATAATCATGATGATTGCTTCACAGTCAAAATCCTAGTTCCGATACTGCTTCCAAGCGACAAAACACAGTTGAATAAGTGAATATTTTGAGTAAATTTATTAATATTTCTTCGGTTTTCGTTCAAATGAAATTTTTATCTTAAGCATTACTGATTACATCAACATAGAATTGAATTTTGTGTATCCTCGTGCGTTCATAAATTGATTGTTATATTGAGATTAAATTTTGAAATAAAAATGTATTTGTCTTTCGATATAGATCGAAAAGAATTATGCAGAAAAAAAATGAATACAGTCAAATTTTTCTTGTTAATCAATTTATATTTTTTTTCTGTAAAAAAAAACACGAACTAAATAAATTTGCTATATTTGTCTTCTTTTTTTAAGTGTAATAACCACAAGAATATATTCGAGGATTTATACATGCCATCCACACAGAAACATTTATCTCGGCTGTTTGTTTAGAAAAATAGGAGAAAAAGATTAGTAGAGCAAATAATAATCGTTAAAAATTTGGAATATCTTAGCGTTCTTCTGATTATTTATCCTTTGCACAGGCTTTCCAACGCGTCGCTTGTATTCCAGAGCATTGATGATAAGGCTGCACGAACTTTTTCCTTAAAAAAAGCAAAACCCAAACATAAGCATTTTGGTATCATCTACGGAATTTATTTAATTACTTCTTCAAAACCCATTTCAACTAGACTTTTAACAGCTGCGTCACATTCAGGCTCTGATGTTGGTCCTGAAAGTAAATTAGATTAGCCTTCTTTGTATCTCAAAAATATTTCATTTTACCATTTGCATAAACATTTGACCAATGTCGAGCAGTTTTTTCGAAAAGTCTTTTATCTTTTTTATATTGATTCGCAACAACTAAAATTTTTTTCAAATAGAATACATAGTAGAACAACATCTAGATATAATTACCGGCATCTTGTGGATCATCGGGTTCAGGTGTTGCGAGTAATGCTTGTAAACTAAGCAATACGGTTCGAATAGTCATTGCAGCAGCCCTAGACAATTTCAAAAAAGAATATTTTATTATTGATATGAACAATGAAATATAACATTTTCACCATTGATCTTTAAGTATATCAAGACATATGGCACCTGTCACTGAACTGATATTTGGATGCCAAATCTTTGTTGTAAATCGAACTTTAGGTGGATTGAATGGATATGTATCTTTGAAAGAGAAAAAAAGATCAATAATATTTTGATATTATATTTATGTAGTTATTTTTCTTTTTCTTTCTTTCTTTCTTTCTCACTGCATTTTTAACTTACCAACAACAGTAATATCAACATGAAATCTAGCTCCAGCATAAGGTGTATCAGGTGGTCCCAGAACGGATCCAGTTAGAAAAATATCTTTCTTAGTTGATGATGAATTTGAAGGAGCCCTTGTTAATTCACCTTCGGGCATATGTAACTCAATTCCATTCTATGAAAATATTATGTAAATCAAATATCGTAAATCAAATATAAATGTCTTACTGATTCATTAGCCACTACTTCTTTAAATTCTTTCATAATTCGATTCATAGCGATATTCATCTTTGATTGAAATTAAATAAATATTTTTTTTAATCTGCAACATGATTAGAATCATTTATTTCTGATAAAAACAAACGAATTCTGATTTGCCTAATACTTTATTTTTGCTGGCTGTTCTTGTTCTACACAAAAAAAACACTCGAGTATTCCACGAAAAGAGAAACAAGTTGAAATAACGTGGACGAAAGCGAGAGAGACACAAGGGTTCTGTTTTCACTAAAAAAATAACTGAAAAAAAAACGCACATGAATAGTTGCAATTTACCAAACATGAGCAGGGCTTTACAAAATACTACTGCATAGACGCAAGCGACTCTGCTGTTTACCCTACTTGGAAACATACATACCCGCATTTTATCTCTAATCGCGGACGGGGAGCTTGAATATCACACGCAAACACACACACAAACAAACAGTGAAACGAAGAAACAAACAAGGTACTCTTCCAACCATTTAGTTATTTCTTGTGTCATCATCGTTCACGCTTTATTATTTTGAAGAAAAAAAGACATAATCGCCAATCTGATGATTGTTTAACTGATTAGCACCAGCAGGAGTATTCCTTCGACTTGAATTTATGAGCTTCTTTCTTATGCAGCGAAAAAACCGAGTTCCTGAGCTGTAAACATAAAGAAACAGCAAAGAGAAACTAACCGGATAAATGTGAAATAAATAAGAAAAAACAAAGAAAAAGCACAAAATCACGCAGTGAACACGAAAAAAGACAGAAAAAGAGCTGTATGAGATTTAACGTATCTCTTCTAGAAAAAGAACACGTTTGTTGTTTTTCCTTTTTTTAACTACACAAAAATACACACACATCGAAAAACACAAGAACTGCAATCAGAAATATGTATGTGTATGAAGGTAATACGTTTAATCAAGAGAAAAACAGAAACTAGTGAAAGACTCGCGCTAGACCAAAAAACAACGAGAAAAAGAACAAGAACAACATCTATATCTATTGTGAAATCATAAAGATCACTGCGAGTGCAAACGAACACAAATCAAGATCAGAAGAAAACAATGAATAAATTTAAATTCATAATAATAAGTCCATCTTTTCTGTGCATTTGTTAAAATTGCACTACAATAGCGCCTTTGTTGGATTCATAATATCTAAATAGATTTAGAAAATTTAGAAACAGAAGCATAGAAAAATATCAATTTCATTTTTCAAAAGAATATTTCATGTATTTGAGACGTTTCCCATCGTATATATATGACTATGAAAACATTTTTAATGCAGCTCAAGGAGATGCATAGCACATCTATGTCTATAGTTCTTTTGCTTTATCATCTAATAAATGATATATTTGTGCTTTTTTATGCAGCTGGTGAACAGAGAATTGATTATTCTAATTGTCTTTGCCAGTGAAACAGTCTGAGCATTCCGCAAAAAAGAAAAGTTCTTTATTCTTCTCTTCGATAGAGCTCGAACAGCAGATGTCAAATTTCAAGAATTTCTATAATAGTCTGTTCGGCAGAAAATATTTTTATATCAAAATCTATCAGAAGTAGATAGAAACAGGTCTCTCATATCCTAAACTCGACTTTAGTGTGATAGAATCCAACACTGTTAGTGCCTTTTAACTACATTAGCTATATGAAAATATGCGACAAAAAATTTGTAAGCAAGCGATGAAATAGAATTGTCTTTTATTATACTAAAAAATTATTTATGCTTTTCTTTTACTGTATTCTGAGCTTATGTAATATCGTTTAATCTAGTCGTCTATTATTCTTTTAGACACACATACTTATGCATATAAATTTTTCCTCCAGTTAAATTATAGTAAAATGATGTCCTAGTCTTCACTTTGTACTGGCACATTCTTCTAGATTTGTTAGTGAATAGAAATTTGACAATTGTTTCTTATGCGCACATCGTCTCTCGTAGTTTGAATAAAGATGACAAACGTTTTCATAATCAGAATAGGAAAGTAAAACTTGAGATACACACCTCTAGTTCGAAGTAAAGATAAATACTACTAAATTTTCTTTACTATAAGAATTCATCAAACGATTGTAAAACATCTGTTATAGAAAATTTGAAAGTTTTAAAAACTGGAAAACCTTCTGCTATCATTTTCATAAATATTTAAGTGAATACAGAGAGAGAGAGAGAGAGAGAGAGAGAGATTTACTTTCTATGTAATTAAAATCTTAAAATGGTTGAACTGTAGAAACAATTGCAGTTCTCTTAGTTACATAGAGATTTATGTTTGAATCGATTATCTCAATGTCTACTGTTGTTTAGATATTTTTTATGAAAAATAGAAGTGTTCGTGTACTGCAATTATTTATCTAATTTTTGAATCTTCTTTAAAAATTGATGACCTATGCTATTTTTTCATACAACTATTTGTAAAATTCATACGGTTTAAGAAAACATGCGGACAAAATTCTTACTTGTATTTTTTTTGCCGTAAATAAGCAAGAATAGTAGAACGTATTTTCCCACAGCCACCTCCATAAGCTGAATGTTTCCCATAGCCAGTTATAACTTCAATTGATTTTGGTGTTGCCCGTCTATTTCCTCCATTTAATTCTTCTTCAGCTAGTTTAAATAAATGAAGTGCTTCATCTGGATATAATTCATGAAGATCAAGTTGATGTGTTTGTCGAAATTTAACAAGCCGTGTTCTAGATAAGTGTTCACTTGCTGTGCGATTTGCATCTTTCATAAGTCGAGCTTGTTCACGAGCTTGATTTATATAATACGATGCAACACCGATCATTCCATGACGATTTGCTTGATCAGCTTTATTGAAACACTCTTTACGTTTTGAAGCATGAAAACGGGCATCACGGCGTAAAGTTTCGTAAGATTCATGAATTGTTTCAGTCGTTGTTGCAGTAGAACGATAATTAGATGTTGGTGTTGTTGCTGATAATGCTGATAATGATGGAGATTTTTTAGGCATACTTATTGAAACATTTTCATCGAGCAGTGATGATATGCAAACTAATGTTAAATTATAATCGGATTCATTTTCACAAAACATTTCATAAATGAAATCATCGGTAAGACTTGGAAAATTATGTTTTAATTCTTTTAATTTATGTTGACTAGCGAAGTTAAGTTGAGGTTTCTAAAAACAATATAAAATAGAATAGGAAAATATGTCAATTTAAATCTTCTAAAAGGACTCGGATTTAAAAATTATTCGTCAAAAATTGAATTTTCTTTATTCTATTCTGATCAAAATTCTTATTCAAACTCAAAGAAACAAATAGTGTCATGATTTTTTTTTCTGTAAATGTAGAGATGATTGCGAATACTTGAAAATCTTTCATAAAATTCTTTAATAAAGATCTATGCTGTAGAATGCACCTAGTTCTGTTTTTGAATGCATTTAATTCTATAAGTCTGTATTCATGATAAATTCCAGCTTCGCCGACGATTATTTTCGCCGACTCCAACTTCGCCGAATAAAAATCTTGACCGAAAAGTATCGAATCAAATTTGATCCATTCTAGATATATAATTTTATCCTAATTAACTACTTTGATAGTGACTTGATTAATTAACCCCATCTGAGTTGGTAACCAAGTCAATTATATCTGTTGCCTTGTTCAAACAGATGCCAACAGATGTAGATGTGAGTGTGAGTGTGTGTTACCCAGCCAATTGGTTACTAACTTAGATGGCTACCAACTCAGATGGTTACCAAGTCAGATGGGGTTAATTGATCAAGTCACTATTAAAGTAGTTAGTTAGGATAAAATTCTATATTTAGAATGGATCAAATTGGACTCGATATTTTTCGGCCAAGATTTTTATTCGGCGAAAATAGTCATCGGTGAAAATAATATTCGGCGAAGCTGCACTAATTCGTATTCATTTGCTAGTCTTTCTGTTTCAGTGGTTTATTTCATTTTATAAATGAAGATAGGATAATAACAGGCCAGGAAGACCATCATTATCAATATTTGTTGTACAGAATATGTTCAAACTAGCACGGTATGTTTTAATGAGATCAGCTTCGTTACAAATTGTAGGGAGAATCTTGCACAACCAATATGTAAAATATGATGTAAGTGTTATTGCTTACCATAGAGATGTCTTCACTGTATCTATTGCTCGGTACAATTTTTTCACAAACTTTTGACTGAATGGATCATCGACAAATCCAGTAGGGAATTATAACATAACTATATTATCGCGAATCGTTATTAATATGTAGTCTTTGATTTTTCATCAACAGTGTATGTGACTAAGGGAAAGAAAACTGTTGATTCGTTCTTTAGATCATGTAGCCGTCTTCGACTAGAAAAAAGTGCAGGCTTTTATCGTGTACGCTTTGACACTTATTGTAAACTGTTCTTCACGACATCGAATCATGCTAATAAAGATAGCAACTGATAAGTTATCGTACGATGATGCAAAAGAAACTAGACAACGAAAGCGTAGTTAATCAGGCGACAGCTTTGAATAGATAAAAACAAGTTCATTTGCATTTCAGAATGAATTTTTGTGATAAATTCAAGACATAACTTACTATCTAATCGCTATGAATCTAAACAAGATTTTCTCTCAATCAACTTGATGCTCTGCATAAGCATTTGTTAGTAAAATTGAATAATTAGGAAATGAATCAAAAAAAGCAATTTTTCTAATATATACGTATACAAATAAGCGACAGGTGAACGCATTGCTTCCTCATTGTTTTGTATAATACGATCAGTAGAAACTCGCAAGTATAACTGAATCTGTTGAATTTCTCAGCATACTTTCTTCTTGTAGATCTTAATGAAATTCAAATCATTTATTTTTAGTGCGTCTTATTCTATATCCTAATGATATTAGTAAAAGAATATTAGTTTTATATCTAGACAATATACTATACGTCATTAGTAACAACAAATAGATTTCCCTACATACTATATTTTAATAGTAAAGTAAAACAAAGCATTGATACCTGTACTGCTTTCTTTGTATTAATATAATTAAGTTCTTCATTCATAATTTCTTTTAATGATGGACCACTTGTTTTCTTATTTGAACTGACATTTGATTCCTGTTGTGTCGGGAAATTCCAACGTTGTTTATTTAATTTTTCATTCTCTTTAATTAATCTCTTGTAGTTCACCGGTTTATTTATTTTATTTGGTATACCTAAAAATCTTTGTAAAGCTTGATAAAGATTCATTGATAGATCATCATCTAATGGTAAAGATAAACCATTAGCACGATCAGATGATTGTATTGGCAATTCACCATAAAGTTCTTGTAAAAAATTTATTATTGATTCTGGCAGTTTCATTTGATTTGTATCAGTAAATTGTATCGAATTATCATTTGTTTCATTGTCTAATATTAATTCTTCATATACATCATCATCATTAATATCTTGGAGTAGATCGCCGATTGAAATTGTATCAAATGATGGATTTGAATGTCTTAATTCTTCATTCCATTGATTTAAAGCATTTAAACTTAATTGTCGAAGTGTTGGAATAGTCGATATTTCATGATTATGTTTAAGATACTCTTCAATTTGTAGTCGCGTCGATGAAATGTCGCCATTACAAAGATCATAGAATTGTTTGACAAGTGGAGGTGATAATCGATCAGAATACAATTCAATCATATGTGATAATGAATAGATATTATTTTCATTTAAATCAACTTGTGTACCACATTCAATGTAACCTGCTGGTGGTGAAATAGGTGGTGATAGTGTTGATTGTTCAGTTAATAGATGACCAATTAAAATTCGATCGGACAAAGCTGCTTCCTGATTGAAATCATCTGATGAACATTGTAAAGCAATATGATTCATAATTCTGAATGGATTTTGATCAGTTAATATAGATGGTTGTGTTAATTCATTATGAATTACATTTGACAATTCATCGTTTTTATTATTACTGGAGCTCTTGTTATTATGATTCACTGATGAATGATTCCTAAAATAATTTAATAATAATAAAATCTTTTTTTTTTGATTAGCTAAAATTAATGGTTGCGAGATCTTAATTTAGTAAAAAATAAAATATCATTTTACCTCATCGCTTCTATATACATTTTCTTCAACGTACTATCCATCGTTTAAATTATTTTATATTCTCAAAAATAAGTACGCGAAAATAAATTTATTTGATTTCGAAGCAAATATTTGTTTTCTTTTCTATCATGTGGTCTAATAGACATATAGAGGCATGCAATAGGCCGACTTATCGTAAGGAAAGAGAAACAATCAAAACAAAATGAGTCATAACCAATCTGCTTTGAGAGAATGAAAAACAATGTAAGAGTCAGTTACCTTTGAAAATTTCTCTGTTGGTCGAAATTTTCAATAAAATTATCGCAACAATCATCGTCATTTTGTTCATCAATAATAACAAAACCAGCATCATCCTCTGGAAGAATAACACTATATGTTGATTGTTGTAAATAATTATCACCTTCATTCATAGTATTACAGTAACTATTATTATTATTATTTGTGTTAAGTAGAATTTCATTTGATTGCTGACGCTGATGTTGTTGCTGTTTATTTTTATTTTTACGTCGCTTTTTTCCAATAATACTTGAATTGGTGGATGACGGTGGAGTCAATTTTTCGATACAACGTGGAAATACTGTTGATGGCAAACGTAAAAGATGTTCATTAGTAAATGAATGATCTTGACTACTCGTTGTTGATGAAAAACGCGATAGAGAACGATGAAATAATGAATAAGGTGTTGTCGGTGTTGTTGGCGATGATGATGATGTTTGTATCAATGATAAATCGGGAAACGATAAAGACAATGATGATGATGATGATTGCGATGTTTGATAAAAAGTTGATGTTAAAAATAAGATCATATCATTTATACAGAGACGAACATCATTAAGAATATTTGAATCATCAATTATATTGTAGGATTTTTTTGATGTTAGTATTGGATCTATTGATTCATGATCGATTCCATTTTGTTCAAGAATATTTTGTGCTTGAGATGGTACAAATAGATTAGGTTTTGTTTGACCAACTAGACTTTCAACGGTTACATTTTGCTCAAAATTATTTAACATTTCTTTAATACGTCGTAATGGTATATTATGAAGATTTCGTCTAAATACAATATTAAGATTCTTTTATGAAACGAGTTCAAGCAAATGAATTATAATTTAATTTAAAAGATCACGTCTTGAAATAAATTTCTAGACTTCTGATTTTAGAGCATGCATAAAAAAGAATTAGAATAATCCTTTAATAGAAAAAAAAAGATATTGTCGACGACCGAAAAACATGCAAAGATTAATTTATGTAATGCTACTCCAATCAAACTAAATATTATTTTATTTCGAAAAGTTAAGGCTATGAAAGATATTTGACTAGGTATTTTTTGCTTGAAAAAATTTAAGACTCGCAATTTAATGGCGCTCTCAAATTTTGAATCATGTATTCTTTTTTTTAGGAATAGTTGAGCAAAACAAATCAGTACGTAGCTGGAGAAAAATAAACACTTTTCAAGATTAAATTGTACTTGACTGGTACCTGACAGATAAATCCACAACGAAAAAGAAAATTCAAAGTTATCTATTATCTATGCAATTCAGATAGACAGAAACTTTGTTATTATATTTTTGCATAGTAAAAGAAAGAAGCTTGAGAATGGTTAGCTACAGTTATGTTTTAAAATTCGCTTAGATTTTAGACGATGACGAAACTGTTCCTTATTCAAGTAAATACTAAATTTCGAGTCCTTTTGTTCAACGGGTGAAATCAGACTAATGCACATCGTTAAAGCGAGCATTAGCTGTTGGTATCGTTGATATAATATTTGCACCTGATCAGTATCGAAACTCCCGAGAAAATAACAGGTATTTAGAGATAAAAACAAACGCAGAAAAGTCAGTGCATAAGTTTAAGAAAATAAGCCTCCCAAATGAGAAAAAAAGTCAATCTCCATATGAAAATAAACATACCACTCGATAAAATAAATGAATATCTGTATAGGTGAAATGATTATAAAAAAAAGAGTGAAAATTCTAAAAGCAAATGAATTTACTTGGCTAATTCACGAGCTTTATAACGCCAAGGTGTTTGAGGTTCTACAAGAATAATACCATAACCAGCTTCTCTTCCCTAAATTAACCAATATATATATATATATATATATAAGTTAACCAAGAAAAAAAATAAACTTAAAATTTACCATTGCTGCATATGGTTTCATTTCCAATAATGTTGAATTTGTATTATCAATAATAATTGGAGAGATTTTTTTTCGTAATGTATCAGACGCTAAAAATAAAACAAATACCTGTCGTTTAAATATATAAAAATTTATGTTGGAAAGTTCACCTAATTCATGAGTACCAAGATGAACAGTGTCAACTTTTGTTAAATCCAATCGATATTCATCTGTTGAGAAAATTTGACCATTATAACCATTATTTAAAGATCTAGCCAATAAAAAAACAAAGAAAAACAAAATGAACTGATAAATCAAAGAAATAAATAATTAAAATTACTTAGCTAGTGTTGATTTGCCCGAACCTAAATAGACACAGAAAAGAAAATTCAAATTTGTCAAAAAGAAAAATAATGAAAACAAAACTGAAGTTTTTACATTTGGTCAACTATTGACTTAACACAGAACTTTCTAAAAAGAAATAAATAACATACCGGGACATCCTCTCATTAGAATCAATAATTTTTCACCATTATCAAGTCTCCTATGTATATCATCAATGATAATTTGATTGCAATCTTTTGTTGTCGTTGTTCTAATTTCATTTTCATCGACGATAATAGGTTTGTTATCTGATACAGTAATTAAATCATCTTTGTCATCGTCTTCTTCTGATGTAAAAGTTCCCATGGCATTATCACTTATTGATGATAATGATGATGGCGGTGATAATGTTTTAGTAAGATGTTGATCTGACAATGATTTTTGAGATATATTTGTTGAATTTTCATATTGTATATCGGTTATTGAACGGTCAAATTTTTTTGTTTTTTTCGATTTAACTTCAATCCAATCATCAGTTATATGTTGCTGTGGTTTTGTTATTTCTGTTGAAGGTGGATTTCGTATTCCATGAAAATTATTTCGATTTAACGTAGTCGGGCGGCGACGAGCTGGTATATCTTTAGTAATAGGAACTTGTGGCTTCAGTTGTTTATTTGTTCGATCTCTTGGTGGTAATTGAACATGTACTTGATTTGTTGACTGTTGTTGTCGGCGTTGATTTTGATTTTGATTTTGATTATTAGTATTAGCATTTGTAGTTTTATTTGGTTTATTAGCATCTAATGCTTGAAGAATAACATTTGAATATGATATTGTTGTTGATTTAGATGATGATGATAATATACTTTTAGTATCATCTTGACTAGATGATGAATTAGTTATCGTTGTATCAGTTTTTGAAGATGTTATAGTTGTTTTATCTTCTGTATTGTTTGTTGATTCTCTTTCTAGTACAGCATCTACTTGAATGTGTGGTTCAGAATTATTTTCTTCTACACGATTGTTATTCAGTGGTGGAAAATTAATTTCATCATCAATTAAAATATTATTATCTGATGATGAGACATCATTATCAGTTATTGGCGGTACCCATTCAGCAGCTTCGGGATTAAGTAATGAACTATTTGAATTCATTGTTAGTGAATTATTGTACATGTATGCAGATTGATCATATATTGAATATGGTAGATATGGAGGATATCCTGCTTCTAATGGCCAATTAAGCGATGGTGGTAGATTCATTACTTGTTGTTGAAAAGCAAGTAATTCAAATTCATCAGGTGTTCGAATGTTATATGCAACATGACCTGGCTGATGAAATGTTGGTGGATATGGAAAAAGAACACCCGGTGGTGTTGCCATTAAGGGTGGTGGTGGATGGTGAGAATAATAATTACAACTACCACGTGGTAAAATACTTCGATGACGACGACCATTCGTTGTCGGTTGTGAACCTGTCGTTGTTGATATTTGAGATGATGATTGTTGTGAATTTGAATCATTTTCATTTGCTGATGTTTGCCTCGAACGAGAACGTAAATTTTGAGAAGATGCTGTGGTTGAATTGCTAGTTTGATTATCTGTTGTTGTTATTGTCGCCGTCGTCGTCGTCGTCGTCGTCATTGTTGGTGATGTTGATGATACTGCCGTTGTTGTTGTTGATGGTGGTTGAGTTGGTATGATCATTAATGGTGGTGGTTTTTCGGTGATAGGTGCTACTTGATAATAATAATAGGGCGCTGGCCCATACGGATGACCATTCATATAACACGGCGCTCGATGATATGGCATTGATGAGTATTTGTATTTCGAATTAAATGATCTTTTCGGTCGATTATCATCTTCATGATTATTTACTGGTGTTGTTTCTTCTTTTTGTTGTTCTTGTTCTTGTTCTTCATTAATATTTACTTTTGTTATTGAATTAGAATTTATTTCAGTATCATCATTAATATTATTTTTCTCTTCAGTCCCATGCGTTGAAATATGCCTTAAAGAAGTAATCGATCTTTAGAAAATTTTTCTTTTTAAATTTTCAAACAAAATATTGCTTTTTTTTTCATTTTTCTTACTTTTCTTCGTTTTCATCAATGATAATTGATTCTTCCTGATTTTTTTCATATTCGCTACTTGATGATCTAGAATGGTTTATATATAAATAGAAAATAAATCAAAATTATTTACTTTTTTATCACTGCTATCGTAAGATTGTTTCCATTAATTTCACTAATACTACCGTTTTCATTTTGAGTCGTCATTGACAAAAAGTTAAAATACTTTTTTGGTTTGCTTTTTTTAATCTTGCGAAATTAGCGTGAAAATGAAAATGAATATAAAAAAAAAACTGAGACGCAAATTTAGTAAAATTCGTTTCGATTTTCTTTTTTTAGTAAAAAATGATGAACAACAATAATAATAATAATAATTTAAGTGGCTATTGATATGAAAGAAAAATGTGTTTATGCATAATTAATATTCATTAAATAATTATCAGAAGTTTTATGAAGATCGTAATAAGAAATAATGATGATAATGAATAAACATATCGTTTCTAAAATAGATTTAAAAAGGAAAAGTTAATTTTATTATACACAGTTTTAATTGAAATCACTGTACGACTTCGTATTGATACTAGAACAAACATATTTCATTATTTTCTGTATACGAAGATAACTTATAAAGGTTACAATACATACAGCACTTCATGAAAAAATTGAGTACAAGGAAAAGTAATGTGATTCATGTATTTAATGATGTCGACTTAGGTAGGTTTATCTTATTGAATTGATTCGCTCGAATGCTAGTAATAAAAAAAAACTATCTGTCTGTACTCACTGACCATGCTGATTACGTAACTATTTCTAATGAACAGGAAAGATCAATCATAAAGAGTTGAAAAAGCTGCAATCACCTTAGTCGAAAGGAAAGTAATTGGAAAATGATCGACAAAAAGACCGAGTAAATAACTTTGTAATTTGGTACAAACGGATGGTGTGATAGTTCGACCTTCACAACAAAAACAAAACGGTCAATGTTTTTGTCTAGATCAGTTGTACAGTAAGATGTCTAGTGTTCGTGCTAGTTGAAGATACAACAACAAACTAAAAAAGGTTATGCAGCACTTTTCTTCTTCTCTGCCAGTGTCCAATTTATTGATTTCGTTCAACACATGTACCAACATCGTTTACTATGTTGTTAATCCTTCTCGTTCTTTATTTTTTCCTCCCTTTCTTATTCTCTTCCATATGGTAGCGATAGTTGTAGTTGGATAGATTGTTGTAAGCAAGTAAGAAGCGAAAGCAACCATCTGTAGCTGTAGACCAATACTCATTCATGACAAAGAAATCTTTCGCTTTATTCATTAAAACACACAAGATAAAAAATAAAATTCAGTGACACGATTTAATTGTTAACCAACATATCAAAGTTATTTATTTAATAGATTATTATAGATATATGATGGATATAAGCGGCATCTGTAGAATCTATGTATGTAAATATCATTCATGTGTTCGTTCTGGCATCTGTTTTTATTTTTATAACCTTTACTATAATGAAATTGAACATCACATATGTCGAATTATGATTGATATTGAAATGAACTTTAGATATCAATCACTTTTTATGGACCTACAATTCAAGCACGTTGTAATATCATTTTATGGTACACCGAAAAACAAGGTTTTTGATTGTTTCATGAATTCATGTCTCCTTTCTCATATTTAAATAATATATAATTAATATTAATTATATTGATCCAATGAAGGATAGGGATAAAAACAAGGTATTCAAATATTTATTAATAGTATTTTCTATACTGCTGTCATTATATATATGTTCATTCCAAATGGATTAAAGAAACGACATAGTACGTATGAATAGTACCTGAAACATTGTTGATCAAGGATTAATCGATTATTAACATCGAGTCATAAAGTAATATCTTATACTGAAGCGTCTTAGCTTGTTTCCTGTTATTCAATATTATTTTGTTGTATAGACGGACTACAACAAACACGATTATTGTTTTATATTTACCGTTTGATTATTTGATCTTACTATGTAAACATCAGTTTAAAGCATAGCTAATGAAAAACAGAAAGGAATGACATCTGGTTATCATTGTACTACTTTTGGAACGACATGACTATTATCTCAAGAAAAAAATATAGAATTAATATTTATAAAGAATTCAACGACGAATTGAAACATAGACGCAGTAACACATAGTTAAAATGAATTACCTTGATATATGACTTATAATTGAATATTTATGTTCATTCAGTCATGTGGATGCATGTCTAGCGGGCTGCTATGCACATCTCTGTTGATATTACTTTCTTAGCTTATTTGCAATCAATACTAATGAATCAATATGGACATGAAAATGTGTTCCAATTATGCTTGTTATGTTTCTTATAAAAATGCGGTCTATTCTGTGCATTCAAAGGAGTTATAAAATAAGGTAGCATCATCAATTTGAGTAGGTCACTTATTTACTAGAGTAGAACTGACAACAGTCATTGTGTTTTCAATTAGCCAATTTATTCTTATGATGTACTGTTTCTTACTCATTTGAAGAAAAAAAACGTTGATGACTTAAGATATTTTTATGCATCGTAGCACAATATCAACACATTCTAATAACCTATTTGAGGCTCTAAGTCTATTTTTCTTTGTCTAGTATTCCTATTTTTCTTCGTATATTTTCACCTCGAGCACCAAATAGTTGATATTATTGTTGACTTCCTTGTTGATACTAGAATTCAAACTTCAACCAATATCATTGATGTAGCAGGGCGTTATGTCAACAATAAGAAAAATTTCAAATCAATAATATTTCTAAAAGCATATAGAATGTCGAGTTTCATTCATTGATGTATTTTACATTGTTCATTTTCAAATGATTTTATTCTTGACTAAACTAGTAGCAAGTAAACAGTACTCAATTTTATTTGACCATGAAACACTACTCAATTGAAGATATATGAAGTGATATAATTAATCTCCAAGCATGTTCTTGTTAGTCGAAGACAAAATATATTCAGATAAAATAATAAATAATCTTTCGCTTATTAAATATTAAAAAAGCTGAGTACTAATCATTTTATTTATTCAATCCAGTGGTTCGAATTCCGATGTTGTCAACAAAATATTGATTGTGGAATAAAACTATTTTTCTATTCATATCATAAGAATGAAATGTTTATTTTGCATGAAAAATAACTGCTAATAAATAACATTTTAAACTTTAGAACATGAATAGAGTTAATTATTTTATTTCTGTCGTCTAACTCAAATTCATTATCACAACTTTTACTTCATTGTATGAAATTATAAATTTCTACTAGCTAATATTTATTTATGGCAACTGTGAGTGTAAATGTAACGAAAATCACACATAGATCCTCTACATATTTCCTTTGAATATTAATAAATTCTCAACGTCGATCGCTATTTACTTTTATCTATAATATCTAAATTTTTTTATAGTTCGAAATTAGAACGATGTAAATAGGGTAAAAATTATTTTCTTTGTCACGTAAGTTTCATATAAGAAAATATTTCATTGAGTTTTTTTTTAAATTATCATCTTACATATTATGCTAACAGAACGTAGTAGGATTAATAGAAATTTTCATGGAAAAAGAGTATCATCGTATGATTCTTCAGATGTATCCATTATTGTTCAAAATATTATCTATAATATAATTGATATCGAAATTCAAAATAATAAACCCAAGATTTCGGAAAAAAGATATCATGGATGCTAACATTAGGTGCATGACTGCGACTGATTCTCGTAAGTCATCTTTAAATATATTCGGTTCTTCTCTAGAAATTTATTTATTTTATTCAGGGTCTAATCGTCAATTGATTGTGGCTGCTACAAGTAGATAAAAAGAAACAATTGCATAGATCTTTGTCATATTGCAGCAACGTACTAGTGTATTGTGTGTGTATCTTATATACATATGCCTCTCTCTCGCTCTCTTCATATACATATATACTAATTTAGATTTAATGAAAACATTTCGAAAACTTTCCCGTTTAGAACAAATACAGCGGAATAATTTTGATCTTTCCTGAAATTGTGATAGATACTCTAAGACAAAAATGGAAAAGTTATATATGATGTTGAACTTTTATTGATGTTTTTCTAATTTTCTTCGATCTATTTGTATACAATGTCATTTCAATATATCCCATAATTTGATATCAATTGACCTATGATAATCTTACAAAACGAGGAATAACTGCTTTCCATTATCTTCAAGAATTACGTTTTTGATTTAAATTAATATAAAATTAATTTACCGATTTCTTTATCCATGTCAAATAAGGCGATGATAAATAAAATACAAAGAAAGATACACTGATGGTATTTGCGCCTGCTACTATGTTGCTGAAGTATTCAGGAGAATCATTCAGACTACCGGATCCGACACAGGCCAATCGTATACGGAGCGTATACGATTGTGCCTATTTGATCTGGACAATGCAGTCCTATGGAAATCCGGATTGCTCCTGTGACACACGAATATGAATAAAATCCATCTCAAATTTAAACCTATTTGAAGTTCAAATGCAAAATTTAAAAGTACTTCATGAAATCGATGTATCAGTAATTCAAAATACCGAAGCAAAATAAAAAGGATCATAAACCAACTCCAAAAATATTCATTGAAAGTTTCTTTCATAATAAAAGAAATCTTTTTTACCAAGTCGGCTCTGATCGTCTGAATTTGTTTGTTACCTGTTGTAATCATAGTTAGATATAGATCCTATTGTTTTAATTCTTTTTTCTATTTTTTCTATTATTCGATAATGTTGAATCAAGAAATAATTCTTTGATATTTCTATCAAATCCATCTAGAATTCTTGCATAAAATTTTCGACCTTCCTTTTGTTCTTCATAGATAAGATGTAATGATTCTATAAGATGTTGCAGTAGAATATATCTTAAGAAATTCTTAAAAACCTGAATAAATTCGGATTCTAATCCGTGTCAAAATTCTTTTGATTTCCAGATTTAATAGCTCGAAAAAATCAAAGACGACAACATGCTTTAGTTTTCTGAAGTGTAAAATATTTGATTGATAATGAACGTTATTCGTAAGTGCTCAATAATGACATCATTAATTTTCATGTTAGTTGTCAGAAAAAAACAATTATTATCCTGCTTTTGAAGCTGCTATTGAAATACCGTTCTTCGTAGTTCGATTGAAACTCTCGATGGAAAAAGGTTTCAAGGTATAACAATGTTTTTGGGAATAGCAACTGTTTCTTTTCCTTGTTCGTAGCTGAGATGGATCTATTCATTTGTATAAGTTATTAATCGATGAATATTTCTTTCGTTTCATTAAACTCATATAGTCTATTCATTTTTTTTCCAAACCGGATTAGTGTGATTAAAATACTATGGGTACCGATATGAATTATATCATAGATAGATTGCTCTCTCGTATAAGCCAGTGCCATCTAGCGATTAACGTATTTATTTTCTTTCTCCGAAAAGAAAAACATATCTCTTATGATGATAGTATAGTCTATCTTTCTTCAACAAATAGAATAAAGATTCTGAATAGTCATCAAATATCTTCAAATAGTTTTGGAATATTTCCATTCTTCATCGAACTTCTTTTTTCTTTTTAACCAGCATTCTCTAGCTTCTCTTCAATAGACGGCAATAATAATCAGATATCATTCTTTATTCATCGTTTACATTCATCATGACTGATCCTGTACAACAATCAACCGACATATCGGTGTCTTCTGAAAATACAACGACTGTACCTAACGATGAAAATCAATCATCTGAAAAACGTAAGGAAAATGAATCAACTCCGTCTGAACAAAGTTCAACACGTCGGGTAACAATGCCGCAAGATATTCGATATGCAACGGATCAAAATGATCGTGATAGATTAATAAAAAAATATAATAACTATCAAGTATCAGATGTCAATGCTTGCAACATACGATTTTTAACAGATAATCGACAAAGAAAAAATTTATTCGGCCGAAATGAAGGTACATTTCAACAAATAATATAAACATCGCTCTCTTTAAAGTTGGTTTTTAGAGGAACATTCAAATTTACATTCATTTGCTAAAGCGTTTAACGTAAACGTATTTGTAAGCATATTTTTATTTCTATATTCATTTCATAATATTAATCGATATTTTTTTCAGCCTGGTTATCAACAACCGACAAAACATTCATATAAGATCTTTGGTACAGAAAGTAATGTACGCACATGTCTAATTGAATCAATGAATCGAATGTTTAAACGATCAAATCGATCAACGCAACGTGATCATAATGAACATGACAATCAACAATTAACATCTAATATTGAACAGACTCAGGAAACAGAAGTCTTATCGAGTGAATTTTTATTATTACAAATTTTCAATTAATTTTTAATAATCTTTATTTTTCTATTAGACAAAGAAGTTATTGATACATCTTCTCCGTCAGAGTCAACATTAGTGGCGACAGTAAATCTTGATTCATCCATTACGGAAGAACAAAAATCAGTTACATCGAATACTGAACAAAGTCAAGCAATAGAAGTTTCAACTGGTAAAGTTCATATAGATAAAAAATTTCATCAAACTTAAAAATTTGTCTCTAGAGAGTAAGAAACATGATGAAAAATCTTCTCAAGATTCAACATCAATCAATCCTGATTCATCAATAAATCACGAAAAACCTAATGATACCGAACATGAACAATTAGCATTTAAACCACTTGAACGTAAACATCAATTTACCTTTATTATGCTTATTTCGAATCAAGGACAAGAAGTTCTTAAAAGTGAATATTAAACGAATTCTTTTGTTGTCTTAATTTCAATGGTGGAAAAATATCTTTTTCTTTTTAGAAAATTGGAATTTCTTTGCTGGATCATTGCAGCAACGTTTGAATGTTGTCGTTCTAAATGTAAGATACATACAAACTAATGAGTATAGTAAATTCCATAACTGAGAGTCAACCTTAAGAAAATCCGAGGCACTCCACAATGATACTGGTGGTTCCAATACAACAGTAAACGAACGAGACCAGATTATTGATTATTTAATTAACTACATGTTCAATATACATGAGAGGAAAAGTAACAAACAAAAATCCGTAGAGAATGAATAGTATATTGCAAATTTACTAATCTTACTCTTGTAAAAAATGTTTTTATTGACTGTTTATGATTAGCAAATATTTTCTATCCTATGAAGTTTGCCAAACCAAAATAGAGTATCATCCTTATCGATATTCTCTTCTATTTATAGCCTGTTAAATTACCTAAATTTGGTGATAAGCAAGTTCACAATGAACTTTCAATAACTGGTGAATTAACTGAAGATTTAACTGATGCTTGTCTACAAATAGCTGCTTTTATCAATGATGTGCTCGGTGTACCAACTCAACTATATAAAGGTGAAAGAAAACTTTGTTTCAAATTTAAAACGACTTAATTATATTAACAAAATTTATTTTAGCTGATGGTGAATCCGCTAGTAAGGACAATGATTATTATCAACGTCCAAAAAATGATAATCAGGCATATCGATCATCACCACCTAATTATCAAGGACGATCGCCTTACAACAATTATCATGGGCGTACTTTTGTCAATCGTAATCGTAATGATATCTTAGAACAAGTTATTCTTATACGAAGTGATTGTGTTTCACGTATTATTGGTAATCTATAGATAAACATGAATATTTTTCTAATAATTTGCTATTTCATAAATTAGGTACACGAGGTTCGAATTTAAAACGTATTCAAACAAAATGCCATTTACGTGATATGATTGTTGGTCGACAAGCAAATGAAAATGGTTATATTGAATGTATATTATCTGCTTACCAAACACGAAATCTTCATTTTGCTATTGATACAGTACGTAGTTTCTTACGAAATGAAGATGATAGTGCTGTACTAGTGCCTGATTCAAATCAAGGTGATAATACAGTACAAGATTCGCCTCATTTACACGAATTGGCTCCTCCTCATATTGATTCTTCAACAACAACATCTCAATTAAGTCGATCAAACAAAGAAACAGGTATTCATACCTCTCATTTTTTTTCTATCAAACGCACCTTTTCCTAATCTATACGGTACTATCTTCTTGTAATTCGAAAAAATTAAGTACAAAATATTTCCCAAAATAAGTAAAACGAAGCATTCTCTCTCTCTGATTGCACCATAGCAATCAAATCGTGTTTCAAATTTTTATTTCCTACGGATTATACTTATTATTTTATCATATTCTTAAGGTTTCACTACAAAATCGTTGAATCTTGGCAATAATAATTCTTATCCACAACCATCATATAATTTTCAAAATCCACCATCGTTTGATTTTACTCATCAAGCAACAACAGCTTCGCGTAAAACAGATAAACGTCGAGGAGAATTACATGATCATAATAAAACACCGAGTGAATCTCAAAATCAGCCATATGATAGTTTTTCATCATCACATTATTCATCGAATTCCCCGAGACATAAATCAAAACGATCATGTCCTGAAACAAAAGAAATTAATTGTACAACAGATGAGGGATTTTGGATTCAAAAACAATATTATCATGCACTAGATGATGCATCAAAGCAATTATTTGATTCATTAATTGATAAATTAGACAAAATTCGTATTGCAAACGAAGAAAATGCTGCAAGAAAACAGCAACGTCTTGTTGGAAGAAATCGATCGAATAAAACAAGAGTTCATACATCTTCTATTTCATATTTAAACGATGATAGTAATCACAAGGAAAAAGATTTGATTGTCAAACCATTACAAATCGAAAATACTATTAAAGTTAGACTTTTCATTTTTAAAGACAAACGAATTAATTTTATTATTTTAGTTCGATCAGTCAACTGATGTAAATGAAGAGAAAGAAAATAAACAAGAAACATCAACAGTCATTATTAATCAAGATTAAATCTTATCGATTGCCAGATATAGACTAAATCTAAACTTTCTTTTACTCTTCCATTCATTTTCGATTTCTAAAGTCATCTCATTATGTATTTGTTCAATGCTTCTTCTCGCATAATGATGATGATATTAGTATAAAACAATTTTTTTTTAAATTAGATGAACCGGTGAACAGATATATTAATGTAGAGTGATTATATCCAGGAAAAATGAATTTTTTATTATTATTCTAATCTCTCTTCTTTCAACTGTTAAACGAGAACGATGATTATATGTTCTTTTCTTTTTCTTCTTGTCTGCAACATGTTTATACATATATAATTTTTTTTTGATAAAAGAAGAAATCTTTTGGTCATTAAAAAGTGTGTTTAAAAAGAATGAACTGTCTTAGGTACGAAGTCAAGGCGAAATTTTCAAAAATATTTGATGAATCTCAAAAGCATGAATTAATATCGGCAAAGAACTTTTCATGATGAATACGTTTTATAGCTAAGCGAGTATTATTTACTTTCAGAGTAGAGACATAGAAAGAGTTCATTGGCTGACGAATTTAGTTGTTACTATTTGTTTTTCTTCACAATAATCATATAAATGTAATTGTGAAGTAGAAAAAAACGTTTTTTCAAACTTGATTTATAATTTATCATGGAAAAACATAGATTTCATGTGAATCAATATAAAAAATAATTGGATTATACTCATCCTTTGGAAACCTACTGGCATTGGCATCTACTCTGTCTTCATTTGAATTAAATGAGCCTTGCTATAGCTGTCGTTCGATTGCTTGACAACAATCGAATGCTTTTAGTAGCCAAAAAAGAGCTTAAGTTTCTACACGAACAACAAACAACGTAAAATTAATGCTATGTTTGAAAATGAATGGAGCTTTTTCTTGCTTACTTAGAGGAAAATTAAGCAGCATCAACAACAATAATAGACGAGAGGGTATTATAGATTTCAGTAGTTTTAAACATACACTGGAATTGAAAAATGAGATGTTCGTAGTTTATCATTCATGATGTTTTAGATAGCACTTTTTTTTATATACAATAATGCCTAGTATTCAGAAATACAAAAATTCGCAAAACTTATGCTACTACTCAATATGCAGCAGTCTAGAGATTCCGTGTCAAACTATAACAAATTTTAAACAGATTTGTTTCGATTATAGATTTAGTTTTACAATATCAATTGAAATTAACCCGGTAAAGTAGTTGTGTCGGAAAATAAAAAGACAAGTGAAGTTGCCAACGTGGAAAACAACATGGCAGCGCTTCAAGAATTTCTCGGCGATTTATCTTTGAAAACTAGTGATGAAATAGCAGACGTTGATACAGCATTAGAACAACTGTTAAACAAAGTGCAACAGATTTGGAGCAATAATGATAATCATCAAGACGTTGTTACTCAAGCCGTATCATTATTTAATCAGTCGATTGACATCGTCGACAAAATAACTTTTACTAATAGCAAGGATTTACAAACTCTTGTCACATTACTTGAACGTATTGAAGCAGCATTTAGAAAAATCATTTACATGGATGATGAACTGATTCTCCTACGCAAAATTTTCTTTGCACTATTCGACTTACTCTCAAAACCACAATTTTGTGCATATTTGAAAGATGATCAACATACAAAAACATCACACAAAGAAGCCTATAGATATATAATCGCTGTACTTATAAATTTACTTCGTCTTAGGCTTGCAGATACTCCAATGGTGGTTGCAGATAGTACTATACGTAGATACACTGATATATTAAGCGCCATGTATAAACGAGTACAAATTAATATAAACCCCAATACTTACGATAAGCATACAGTAGATAAAATCGTATCATTCTTGTGTAGTCTATCTGATCGGATAATTATTGTGCCATGACTTCTTGACATTGGCCTAGTCAAAGCTATACTAGAATGTTTGACATTAATAGATATAAATTCAAAAGGAACAACTCTATCATTTATTGGCATTATTCATAATATATCTCGACATGATAATGGAGCGGCTGAAATCAACAGTTTGGATGGTCTTGCGATTCTCAAGAATTTTCAAAACAATAATAGTCATACATTGAATGATACTAATAATCTTCTCATATCCATGGCGATTGCTCTACTTTCTACACCGAAACAAATTCGCTCAGATAACAAACGAATGAATAGAATTCTTAATCGATTATTGCAAATTACTATGGAAGCGTCCGAGGTGAGTTTTAAAAATTTCAAAAGAAAGAGATATTGAGAAAAAAATCAAATATACACTCGTTGAAAACAAATACTTTTTTTCATCCGGAATGTTATCAATCAAGATAATATTCATGACTTTCGATTGTTAAATAATTAGGATTCATTTTTAGACAGAAAATCATCGAAATAGAGTTGGCTTCCATATATCTGAACCATTAGGTGTACTAGCCAAATTGTTAGTAGACGATCACTCGCTTGAGTATGTTCTCAGTCACGCTGAAACTGATCCACAACTTGATGTAACATCGACTATTGACTTGTTCGTTAAATTGTTCATCGAATTTCGAGGTGCATCCGTACAGAAAAATCAACGGGAACAGTTTACATGTACGATACTATTGAATATTTTATGAAGCATTTCATTTCAAGATCATTATAAAACAAAGCTTCAGCAAAATGAAGAGTTTTTCAAAACTGTTAAGAGTTTAGCGATGGATAGTAGTGAAACAGTGACCGTCGATGACTATGTGCCACGTTCGATGGAAAGCATGAGAAAAGCTGCTAATGGTATTCTCTACAACCTTAGTGAAACATTAAATGATAAAAAAGTTGATATTACAAATAAACAATCAGTGTTTAATACTGGAAGTGAAAAACCAATGATCATGATTAGCTATGCTCATGCTAATGATCAATTTTGTGATAAGATTCTTGCTGAATTGGCGAGAAAAGAAAATCTTTTTAGCATTTGGATCGATCGAGATCATCTTTCGTCGAATGAAGATTTATGGGAAAAAATTGCTCATGGTATAAAACAATCATACGTGGTCTTATGTCTTCTCTCACAAGATTATTTCAACAGTAAATCATGCCGTAAAGAAGCTTCGTTTGCAGTCAAGCGGAAAAAAGAAATTATTCCTGTCTATATTGGTGAACCAGGTGATTGTGATTGGCTTGGTATGTCGTTTTTATTTCTTATTTTGACTGATGCAATTTAAAGTTTTAATTATATAACTCACTCGAATAGAAACAGTTTGAAGTTGTTTCACATCGTAGTCTACTTATGTAACTAAAATAGCTATTTATCTTAGAAGTCAGGTATACGTTTGATTGAGTTTCTGCATTCATTGTCAGTGTTTTTTCCCCGTAAAGCTATAATCCTATACCCTAGAAAGCGAAAGTGATCGAATAGGGATTCGACGGATCTGAAACTCGATATAGGACAATTCATGTTTTATCGATTTTTTTTTTCTATGAAAAAATTCAGTTAATTGATATTTTTAAAATTCTTCAGACATTCATATTGCTGAATTGAAATATGTTCGTTTCAAAAGCAACACTAAAAACCTTGACGACGAAAAAGTTCAAGAACTATTGAAAACGATTGAAGCTACCATTAAAATAGTGCGAATGCAAGCAATACCAGAACCAACGGAACAACATAGTATACCGACGCGAATTCGAAAAGAAATCGAAACAGTCCAATCGACTACATTCAATGTAAATAAGCCGCTTGAACAGTGGACAATCGATGATATTCATTCATGGTTTAGTAGTTACAAAGTTCCAGATAATCTTGTAAAACTATTTGATTTTCAATCAGTTCATGAAATGCACGAATATGCTGTGAAACTAGAAACTGATCCGAAAAAAAAATTTATCAAATATGAAAAACGATAAGCTAAAAATTATTCAGGAGAAGAACTTGAAGAATATATCTTCAGTCGATTTAAGAATGCTCTTACTGGTCTACCAAAGAATGAAAAGGCTACCGTGAAAACTTCGAATTCTACGCCTCAAGCATCAATAGGAAAGTCTAGTACTTGTATTATTGTATGAACATCATCATTAATTCGAAGCAAAAGTTAAAATAGATCATCAATTAATTCAAAAGTTTTATTTTTTGTAGCTCCTCATATGATAAAAATTGTTGGTTTTGTATTTTAATAAAGTTAAAAAAACATTACGAAAAAGTCTGAATAATGATATTAAATCAAATCAAATCAAATCAAATCGAAAGATTATCAAGAATAAAGCACAGTTCTGCCAATTAAAATTTCAAATTCTAACATATCAACGAAAAACTATCCGTAATAAACGATGAAAAATGCCTCTACAGAGGGAAATATTGTCTCATCAACATTATGTTGTTATAATTACTGCTCTCGGCATTTTCTCTCAACAATCATGCTCATCTCAGACTTTATTGTTTTATTTTAATTGTTTATCTTTGTTAAGATAGATTTGATGATTCTCCCCTTTGTTATTATCAGAATTGAAGAGCTAAATAATATTTACATATTATTGTCTCACAATGCCACCTATCACGATGAATCATTATTGAGTGTAAGTGTTCTATGGTTATTACATTCTCCCAATCAACGCAATAATGCGTCATGTTATGCAAGCCTTTACATATTTTCTTCCTTCTTTATTGCATATATTTTTATTTTTATTTCGCATTCGCATGCATTAAAGTACTATTTGTTAATATTGAAACATTAAATATTTTGCTTACATATTCCAATGGTCATTTGTCTTCGTCTCGAGATCGATGATGCATTTGAATCAGATTTAGAAACACTTAAATATATTGTTTACGAAGGTATTTATTATGGATTACTTTTATTTAACTACTAATATGAATTCTTCTTTTTCGTTTAAAGCTTCTTTCAACGAAACAAAAGCAATTCTACCATCAAATACGAACAATACAGAAATACCTGCAGTGAAAACCGCTAGTACTGGTCAAAGAGAAGCACGCGAACTCTTTGTCGAAACTTATGTGTTTGACGGTAATTAGAAATATTGCTAGTTATCAATGATTGATGTTCTTTAATTTTGATATTATATTCAATTTAGATAAATTAACTTTACCGAATCATCGTTCCCTGTCATCTAACGTAATGAGTGATGCTATTGAAATGACTTATCTTGATTTGTCAAAACGTCGTCAACAACAGCACGAACAAGACATGAATACTTCAAATACGAATGAACCTGATGCTATACCAAAATCATCAATTACCGATGAATCTCAGAAACATATAACAACACAACCAACTTTTCCAGATATAAGTGATTTACCGGAAACTAAAGTAACAAACAAGACAAAAAAAAATCGAAAAGTATCAACAACAACCAATGATACAAATCGTAGTATTTACAAAAGAAAATATATAATATTTAAATCCTTATAAAATTTACTTTTACTAAAAGGCATTGAAATATCAACTCATATATCAACAACTCCTGATTCACAAATTCCATTTTATTGTGGTAATCATTTAGTCGATATCACACGAGGTATTCTACATCTGTATAAAGACAAGTAAATGAAACTTATCAATTGTGATTCATTAATATCTTTCTTTTTAATTTTCAGTAAAGCACTAGGAACTAATAATGAACCGAAACGTTGTGAAATGTTGGCTATGCTAGCTATTCCAGCTGATGTAGCTTGTAGGGAATTGATTGCATTTATCTATCCCGCTTAGTAAGATATTTGAAAATTAAAAGAAAAAATTTGTTTTCTATTATGATTTTTCTTAGTGATGGTATTGAATATTTGCGAATTATTCGTGATCCAACTCCAAATCAATATATGTGTTTAATAAAATTCAAAGCTCAAGTATGATTTATTTTATGATGATAAAAAAAGTCGTAGATTTTTCTAAATTGTAACTTAATGAAAGCAGACATTTGAATAGATTAGTCGAGTTGTATTGAAATTTTCCAAGAAGATGAGGATTTGCTTTTCTGTTGTTGTCTGATTATCAAAATTCGACTTTGCTTTACTTAGATTTTAGTGTTTAATTGCATATTATATTATTTTTAGAAACAAGCTGATGAATTCTATGATTATTACAATAATCGTCAATTTAATTCAATTGAAAAAGGTGTTTGTCATTTAGCATTTGTTACAAAAGTTGATATAACGAGTACAGCTAAAGTAATTTATTTCTACTCATGTAGTATTCTCTATTAAAAAGTTTTGTATGCAGGAAGGATCATGTCCTATTCCTGGTCTTACAGAATTACCACCCTGTTATATATGTCTGGAAAGAATGGTAATTTAGTGACTTTTATTCATTTTGATGTATAGTTAGTTTTATTTAGGATGAAAGTCTTGCTGGAGTATTAACTATTCTATGCAATCATTCCTTTCATGGTGATTGTCTTGTTAAATGGGGTGATAGTTGGTAATTTGTTTTTGTTTTACTTTTATATTCGATTCATTTGACAACTTTTTAGTTGTCCTGTATGTCGTTATGTACAAACACCGGAAGTTATTGATGGTCAGTCATGTTTTGAATGTGGTTCACAAGAAGTAAATCATCATAGTATTGATATTTACATAAGATATTTTTACATTTCTTAGGATCTTTGGATTTGTTTAATTTGTGGACATGTTGGATGTAGTCGGTTTAAACAAGGTCATGCTTTTGGGTATGCATTCATCATCATACAAGCTTAATTCTTAATAGAGTTTAGAAGAATAAAAATAAAACAGTAGATTGGCAACTTACACATTTCTCGATTGTTATTCAGAGTAGAAATTCGACCGATAATATCTTGGTTCGACTTTCTGCAATGTTTTGTCTAAGACAATGAAAACTCTTCGAATAAGTGCCAGAAACAAAGCTTAATGCTCGTTTTTCCGTTATGATTTCCCAGGAGACTATTCAATATTTTATTTAAAAAAATCGTCAATGTAAGGAAAAAAGTCTCGCCATCGTGTTCCTAATCGGTAATTCTACTCCTATAGATCTAAGAAGAAACATCTTGATAACAATTCAATAAAAACCATAATAGACATGCTACCAAGATCGGAATTTGCTATAATATTTATATGATACACGATTGTATTTGAAATAATTTCCCATCTGTCATTCTTTCATATCCATTGTAATATACAACGATTAATATGTGGCATAATCAACATATATTAAGTGTAATTTCATAGTTCACAATGAAAAGTATTCATCAACGAATACTCTTTGTTGATAGTCTTAGTAACTGAAATCTTTTGTTAACAGACCTTTATTTTGCAAACATGATCTAAAACGAGTGTTGACGAAGTATTGTGGAACTCTTACTCACAGTCAAATGATAGAAATGATTTTAAACATTCTAGAGATTTTCTAATTTAATCATAAAATTCCATTTCGTATTAGACACTTTGAATTAACTCAACATACGTATACAATGGATTTAAAACGGCAACATGTCTGGGATTATGTTGGCGATAATTATGTTCATCGACTTATACAAAATAAAAGCGATGGAAAACTTGTTGAATTACGTGGTGAAGGTGTTAATACCTATGATATTGTAAGAATCGAGCTAGCTGTTTTTTTTTTGGTTCGTTATTATTTATCATTGGTTTTAGGATGATTATACCGAAAGTACATCAAAAACTGATACAACTCAAGAAAAAATTGATTCAATTGAACTTGAAGTAAATAAAAATAAACGAATTCTGATAAAACTAAGTCGTTTAAATTTAAATTTAGTATACATATTTATTAACAAGTCAATTAGAATCTCAGCGACGCTTTTTTGAAGATAAATTACAATTTGTTGAAGATGCAACTCATGGAAAAATCGAAGAGCTTGAACAGTCAAATAAATTATTAAAAGAACATGCACAACAATTACAAACAACACTTGATGTAATAGCAAAAGACAAACAACAACAAGACAAACGTTCCTCAACTAAAATAACAAAACTTCAACATGATTTTGACGAAGAAAGATTAATGAACCAACAATTAAGACAAAATCAGAATTATTTTCAAACTGAAATGCAAAAATTAAAAGAAGACTTCGATACTGCTATGAAAACTAAAAATCAAGTGCGAGATTCTTATTTTTTTCAAAAGTTTTTACTTGTGTTTTGTTTTTGTCTAACAGGAAATCGATGAACTGAAAGATCAATTACGTGATCTCATGTTTTTTATTGATGGTCAACAGAAACTTAAAGAAATTAAAGACCTATCAGTTGATGAACTTGAATCAAGTGAAGTAACTATAAATAGTCCGACAACTACAAGTGCTAGTTCGACATCTACAACTAATTCCGGTAAATCAAGACGAAGAAAAAAATAACTTACGATTATTAATTTATTCGTTCTTTCAAATCATAAATGAAATCTTTCCCAAAATGTATATGTTTGTTTTTTTTTCATTCGATTTGATTTAATTTTTATTACATAAGAAACCTAGAAATATAAAGTAAAAATATCAAAACAAGAACATCTTTTGTTGTAATTTATGAAAGTATACCCTGTTTCACTGCCTAGTAGACATATCCAGGGGTGTATAGAAGAAGCTGTGCTGGAATCGGTATTACGCGAAGAAAGTTATTTCAATTCTAGTTAGATATTGATCGATATGCATGCTGGAATCGATACTTGTATTTGTCAAAAACTAAACTGTTTCAAATTTAATATTATCAATTTTTATGTTTGAAAAAATATAACTTATGTCTGTAGCCAGTGAAATAGATTCCTAATTTCTTCAAAACTTGTAATCAATCACAAAATATGAAGAATTCATCATTTCTATTGAAATTGAGTTGAAAGTATTTAGTTAAATCACTATTCGAAGAAATCTTGGAAGTAAACAGAATGTTTTCTTTTGTATCTATAGTTGTTGTTCTATCGACAAAAGAATATTAATAAAATCGATTTATTTTTAAAGAGAAAATATACATAATTTTATTTCTTATCATAGTAAATGAACTTCATTGTTGCTTGAAATGAAATCAAGTTTTAGCCGTAAATAAATATTCTAAGATGATAACAGGGGCGGCGGAGCGTCATTAAGCTAGATAAGGCTCATAATTTGTTTTCCTAGTGTGGAGTTTTATAAAAATATCAAACAGAAAATAAGTCTTCTTTTTATTGAGCTCTAGTAAAAATGAAAATGATCAACATAAAAAAGAAGATTAGAAAATACCAAAAAATATTTTTCTTTGCTCCTATTTTGATGCAAAAGTCGAACAATGACTTTTCAAGTCAATAAAATGGTTTGTCGACATAATGTGAAAATTCGATGACCGATTTACTCAAAATTCTTTTTTCAGACTAACAGATCTTTATAAATCATTAGATGTAGATTTTGTGCTGGTTATACAGTACTGGCCAAAATTATAGAACCACCTGAACGTTTTTACATCTTTTCGACTTTTCTGCGTGTATATGACTTTAACTTTAGAGGTTTTCGATAGATCAGTTCATAGTCTACAAACTGAAATAAAAATCTTGAAAGTCTAAAGTAGACTTACGTTACACGAGAGTGAATATAGTATTGCATGTCTAAAATTTCTTAATTTAAAATGTTTTTTTTAAAGAAAGTTCAATCTTGATTTCAAATGTACTCTGTTAGAAAGAGCTTTCGAAACTGTATTCAATGATCTAATTTACTTTTGCCATAGTGTGTTCATTAGCGAATTCTTAAGAAAAGTCCTTTAGAAGTCCATTCGGCATGCTTTTTCCAAGGCTTCTTTTAGGTTCTAGACTTAGCGACAAAGTTTTTCTTTTCATACCGACAGATAGAGTAATAAATTCTGTACAAGTACAATATCGAATAAATAAAAAGAGATGGAAATTAGAGAGAAAGGCATACCCATGTCGCACAAACTGATCGAAAAAAGTCGGTTAACCGCGGTCAATTTTTATAAAAATCGGTTAATCGCGGTTATTTAAGCCATTTTAGCGACTTTACAGCGTAAAAACCAACGGTTAACCGCGGTTAACCGTTGAAATAACCGGACAGCTAGCGACATAACCGATGACTTGTCCGGTTAACTGGGAGGTTAACCGCGGTTAACCGTTGGTTTTTACGCTGTAAAGTCGCTAAAATGGCTTAAATAACCGCGATTAACCGATTTTTATAAAAATTGACCGCGGTTAACCGACTTTTTTCGATCGGTTTGTGCGACATGGGGTCATACTAGTATTTTATAGAAAAATCTTCTCATATTCAGAATAATGAAGGTTTTATTTAGTTCAATAGAAAATAAAATGCAAAATCTTTCTGAGAAAAGTGGTACTCTGTGTACTATTAATAATCGAATCATTGTATAGAGATGATAAGAGATGTTTGATCTCACTTACATTATTGAGTCGCTAGTTTCCTTTCTTTAAGCAGCTTCTTTTCCAGCACATGTTTACTCATCTTCGTCATACTTTGCGTATTTTTTCGAATAGTTCTTTGACTTGAGTCACATGCTTTTGTAATATAAAATGCGTCGTATTTCTTTCCGTTCGTCTCATTTGTCAGCATTCACTCATTCTTGCAACTACTCAAGACATGGTGACAGCAATAAAACAGCCTTGCTGCATCAACGATTGTAAAATAAAACCAACAACAATGTGTTTGGGATGTTCAGAATTAATCTATTGTAAAAAAAATTATACATCACATCGTGACAGTTCTATATGAGGAATTTCAGATACTTAAGGATAAGTGTAAGCGGTTTCACTGAGAAATTCAAACACAAATAGAGAATTCACGAACACACATTAGTGACAAATATTGACGAATGAAAAGGACCTCGATCGCCAAAATTAAACAGCTGGCAAAATAAACTAGACAAAGATTCCTATCATATGTCGTTAATTTCTTTCCTTAAGTTAAAATCCAATTGAATAGTTTAAATGATGAAGTTCGTCAATATCCTGATGATTATGCATTTGCTGACACCGATATAGAGAACTGAACTAAAGAATTACAAAGACTAAAAGGGATACTCAACGATCTACCTTATTTTACCATTCAATAGGATTCTACAGCTTTTGTCAACAAGATCCGTTTTGAAACTGGCGGCAAGTTCGGAGATGATAGCTATAATGGACGCGGAAAAGGATTTTAATGAAAAAGCTTTCAACTTTCCTGAGCAGTTAGAAACAATCGTAGGCAGTGTAGACTCTGCCAAACACATATTTTTCGAAAGTTTTCTTTAATTAAGGGGAAATCTATATTGGACTAAAACATCTAAATTCTTTCGGGCATTCCTTTGTTCAAATCCGAGTCCATTTAGCAACGAGGATGATGCGTGGCCACCAAGTGAACACCACCTACTTTTCACTACACAACTGGGAGGGTATGAGCTGTATGTATTGTATTAATTTGTCTGATAATTGTGAGCGTTGCTGTAAGTATGCGTGACTGAGTGGGCGAAAGAGAAACATCTAATTGATATTTCCGAACCATTTCGACAATGATTATTATTGATGGTTCCCTGTTCTGATGTGAAATGATTCTGAATATTTTTTTTTCAAGATAAAGCTAATGAACAATACGATGAAACAACATGTCATGTTGAAAAAGTAAGCGATTGAAAGTTTATTTCTCTGTAATTTGTTTACATGGTTTACCAATAAAAGAAAGAGAATAGAAAATAGTTAAATTATAATAAAAAACCAATATACATTTTGATTGGTTCATACCTACTGTATGAAGTAGCGATCATATGAAGATTAAGATCATGTATAAAGAGCATGGTTCCCGATTACTTTTCGAAGTGAGGGAGGCTAAATTTTGGCAGAAAGTATTTTTTCTGGTAGCCATTATATGTCAAAAAGAACATCATTGATTTATAATATCATCATCTAGCATAGATGATCCAAGTTCATTTTTATTAAAAATAAGTAAAAACAACATATTTATAAAAAGAAATATTTCAAAAAGCTTTTCAAAACTCATCATCTTTCTGTTTCAATTGATCAGATTCAAAAAATGATGTTATATTTCGCGATTTTGCACGCCCTGGATTTTTTATGAAATCTTGAAGAAATAGAGTGAAGTGAAATTTCTGCCAGAAATTACAAATAGACTGAATAGACTTTCGGCCAGAAATAAAATAACAAATAGAGTGGGGTGAACTTTCTGGCAGAAATAGCAAATAGAACAAGTGAACTTTCTGACAGAAATAAATAGAATGGCTAGATTTTTCGACAGAAGTAAAAGGTAGAAATTAAAGATTTTCTGGCACGAATAGAAAATGAACAGCGGAGTCACCAATAGAAACAAATAACTGCAGAACGAGAATGTTCATTTAACAAAAGGATGCATAAAACAACATTTTTACTAGAAAAAAAAACATCTTAATTGGCGGTACACAGACGTACTGCAACCAAGAGTTTTCGAATAACCCAAAATCTCGGAAAAATTTTCGCAGAAACAGCTTTATTTCTTAAATTTTGTGGGGGGCTGATCCCCCACAGCCCCCCTCTAATCGGAGTCCCTGATAAAGAGAATCATTTGTTCATTCCTTATCAACTGCTCTTATATATTTTTATCTCTTGTTTATATGGTTATTTAATTTGATCTTTTCAAATCGAGTCTCAGTAATTTTTTTGTGAAGAAAATGTATGTTTATTTGATTTTTTTCATTCATGAGGTTGATCCTTATCATTAATTTTCAAGAACAATCGCTAAGTTATTCAGCCAAATGGTGTTAATGAATTTCATGTTTCATTAACACAAGCTTTGAGGGGTGTCCCGGGACTGAGAATCAGGAATTCCTCCTCAGTTCCCGTACAGTTCCTTGGATACTAAAGGTAAAAATATGGAATATTCACGATAATTTTTGTTCTTACACTCAGTTTCACCTGCAAAATCGTGAAAATCAATAGTTTCGTGCACAAATTATCAAAACAAAATAGAATATTGCGACTTTCGTGAATGATGGAACTGTGAGAGAACCAATAGTTGATTCCCATTTCCTCTAGGAATTATCACAGTGGCACTAATAATTCCTCGGCAGATTAGGAATTCCTATTTCTCAGTTCTTGGACACTGCTGGTTACTTCGACATTTCGTCCTTCAAACTTAAAATTAAATTATATTCTTCAATCACTTCCCAGGTGAATCAAAACGGACCACCGCAAACCGGCGTAACATTACCGTAAACAGCCGTTTTTGCATCGTAATCCGTCATAAAACGGCCGTTTTAAGCCGAATTAAGGCGTTTTAACAGGGGCAGTATTACGACCATACACGGACACCGTATATCAGCCGTAAAACCTCGTAAAGCTGACGTAATATTATCGTATTCTATAGAACATACGGCTGTATTACTGCCCCTGTTATACGGGGAAAATACGGCACGTAAAACGGGCCGTATTTGTATCGTATAGGATCGCTTACTGATCGTTTTCTTCGACCGGGGTTAATTCATTGTCTTTAAATCAAAAGTAAGATCAATGATATTACATCGATAAAAATTGTTTGTCATGTTTGTTTTAGTCTTTCATCAGAATCATTAAATGTGAATTTTCCTACGCTTGATTTTAGTATACCATTTAATGTGATATGTTTGGGTCGTACAACATAAATTCTTGAAGATATTGTGCTTTTTCTGAATTCAATGTGTAAATAAAACGTATTCCTGGTTTAACTATCATATAAGTGCAGATCCTTCCTTTAATGATAGTGTTATCGAAACCGGTTCGTACACTTCTGAATAATCATTTTGTTTCGGTTTTCAGATGTCAACTGTGACAAAGTCTATATACAATATTTTCCAGAATCATAAACCAGATCAAGACGGTATGTATTCCACTAGGAATAAAAAAATATCATAAATAATAGTACCGATATCTAGATCATGTTTTTCTCCTTTTGCATTAACTTAATTTGATATCTTGATATATTCTATAGATAATGGCAGCTACAAATGTGATTTTTGCGAAGAAGCGATGTCGCCCAGGTCGAAAATTCCGGTCACTGAATTCCGTAGGATACTCCAGGATATATGTGGGAAAGTCACCATATCCTGCAGAAAAAACAAGGAAAATCGCTGGAACATGGAAGCAGTATTCCGGTCAAAAATACGGCCGGAATTTTCCGCCGGATTCCTGCCGAGTTCCGGTGCTTTTCGGCAGGGATTGATCGGAAATCACCGGAAAAAAAAAGAAAATTTTCCAACCAGAATACTGCTTCCGCAAAGTCAACGGAACTACCCAGGACCGGCCGTTTCCAGGCCGGACTGTTCGACCTGGGCATGTAAAAGAGTTTCAACAATTAATTTAAGAACGAAAAATGTATCGTAAATCCCAACATGAACAACGTTTGGAGTGCATGACGTAAATGAATTATAAAGTAATTCAAAATTCAATCAAACCTTCACCTATTCTAACTATATTTACCAGGGTCTACATGTATCTACCAGGGTCTAGAAGGTCTACTAGTGTCTACGAGGGTGTAGGTGTGGTTGTGAATGAGAGTGTCTTCATGCCTAGCACCCAATCCTCATGATATTAGTAGACGAGTGCATGACAAATCTTAGTGATAGTATCATTGGGATTTTCCAAAAAAAACTGTCACCTATCCACATATAGATAGATAGATAGATAGATAGATAGATAGATAGATAGATAGATAGATAGATAGATAGATACGTACNATTCAGACTAGTCCAGACTCGTCCACTATATAAGGCTACAGCTGGTAGATACATGTAGACCCTGGTAAATAGCTGTAGACCCTGGTAAATAGCTGTAGACCCTGGTAGATATCTGTAGGAATTTAGTTTTAGCTCTGAATTATATTGTCATTCATTTCTTCTGAATTACTTTGTAATTCATTTGCGTCATCCAGTGAACGTTTGACTAGCGCACATACACCACTGGTTCCTCATTCCGATAAAGTAATATCGATAAAATTATTTTATTGAGAACAAATTCTTTCAGAACTTTAAAGTTTTATTTCGTTGGAAACATGTATTGTTTATATTTCTAGTATGATAATGATCAACGTGATTATTCATCTCGACATGGCCAAGCTAGTCTATTAGCTACTTCACTTGGTCCACATAATTATTTATCTTCATCTCAATTTGGTTAAACTGGTCTATCAATTAATCCGTCTGTTCCAAATAATTAGTTATGTTCTCAATATGGTTAAGATAGTCTATTAACTACTCCACCTGCTCAAAATAATTATTCATCTTCTGGACATGGCCAACTTGATTATTCTCGTTTTCAACGTGCTCATTTAATAATGAAATAAGTCTGTAAGATTTTTTTGTTTTTGACGATTATATGAGGAGGAAAAGAGAAAATTTATTTCTTCTAATTTTTATTTTACGTTGTCTAAGTCCCTAAAAAATCTTGTTAACTGCTGTTTAATAACTTTATCGGTGTTTTCTATTGCTATAGGGTAAATAGAAGAAAACTATACACAAGAGAAAACGTTCTCCATAGGTTTCAAAGAGAACCACCAATTTTCTCTGGAAGAGAAAGTTTTACTCGCATATCTTGAGAAAAATTAACTGTTTTTAATTAAGAAATGTTTTAAATTCAGATTTCGAGGAGAAAACGCTTTCTAAGTTTGAATGTTACCTTCTGTTCATGAATAAAATCAAACAAAAGCTATGCTTCTTTCGAATAAAAAAATTCATATCAACATATCTGAACGAAAAAACAAGAAATTTTATTAATCTAAATGTTTATCTAGTGCGCGAAGAGAGCAGATAAATCATAGCGAGTTAAGTCAATCAATATCAAATGCACCCTTAAAACAAAGTTAAGAGGCCGAATATAAAATTGGTACTGGCCGACCGAGAAAATATTTCTCTATCAAACTGCACTGTTAGTTTTTCCTCAGAAAAGTGTCTGAAACATGAAATTGTCGAAATACTATAACCAATCCAAACATAGATTATTACTAATGGAGTCACCACCGAGAAGACACCCAAGTGAGCAAAAGACTGGTTAAATGACTAGTCTTTTTTCTAGTTGTGTCGCCCCGTCTCGACTAGTCTTTGTCTCAAAAAGTCCTCGTCTGGGACTAGTCCGAGGTTTTGACCGTCATGCATACGCGTCCTAGTACTCTGATTGACGACTAGTCATAAAATCTAATCAGAGTAGTCGTGGCGAGTGTCTCTGTTGCTCGTCCGAAAATGGTATATGAATGAAAAATTAAGAGCGTCTGGGACGAGTATACAACCAGCTGTAGCCTTATATAGTGGACGAGTCTGGACTAGTCTGAATGGAAATATGTAAGGATGAAGATTAGATTCGGACATGTATATAATGTGACACTTACCCATCGCCAGAGACCTTTGAGCCATATGATCGGGAAGTCATATTCTGCACACTCACGATCATTCTAAGATGCTATTTAATACAATTTTTACTCCAAATTTTTAATTTCATGTATCAATAAAAATTATCTTTTACCGAAACGAAATTACTTTAGATAGCATTAAATAAAAATAAATTAAGAAGATTTCATCATTTTTTCAACAAATATATTTTGATTCATAAGCAAGTGCGATTAATTAGTTGGGCTTTAAAAACATTAATTTGAGTATAAAAATTAAATTTATTTACGCCGGAAAGAAACTAGATTTTTTCATACTATTTTAATTTAATTTCATACTCAAATCTTCGTACATTCATCTAATAAATAAATTATCTTAGCTTAATTTAGAATTATTACAATTAATATTTAACATAAGCAAACATTATATTTTGATATGAAACGATTTAGGTGCTTCTCAATTTTTTTTAATTACGACCTATCACAATTCAAAAAAATATATAAATTAGCACTCCTAGATGCGAGATGAATTTTGTTGTTAGTACTAACCCCTGCCATTTTATGTTTTGATCCACTCTTAAACTTTTAGCATAAGCTAATGCAAAATAAAATAAAATATATCAAGACAGGAATGCACGCAATATATTAAATCTTTTCGAATGCACTATTGATTACAGCAGACGCTCTAATTGTCCTTCTAGCTAGAAAACAATTCGATAAGCATTGAGTAAAATAAACACTTCTTAAAAAAGGACTAGTCATGGCTCATGAGATGTCAAGAAGATGCTTCAGAGCAGCCTAATAGCTGTTAAAGACATTTCAGACTAGTCAATACCGTTTACGTCGGTTTGCTTCTGATTTTCTATGCATGGATGGAAGTCAATAAATAAGTTTAGATCATATATACTCACGGCAGCCTATCTCCGTGTCCTAGTCTGCCGTCAGGATATCCATCATATCCCGAACACTGTCGGGCTGGATGTTCAAATCCACTATGTAGCCTCTTTTTTTAATCTTCTTACTAGTCTGGACTGGATCAGCAGACAACACGGACAAGACATGACTGGGCTCAAGGACATTTCAGACTAGTACATACGTGTTTGTAAGACACTCTTCATTAAGCTGACTAGACAAGACGGGTATACAAGACACTCTTCATTATGCTGACTGGACAAGACAGGTATGCAAGACACTCCTCGCTAAGCTGAATAGACAAGACAGGTATGGAAGACACTCCTCATTAAGCTGACTAGACAAGACAGGTATGCAAGACACTCTTCATTAAACTGACTAGACAAGACGGGTATGCAAGACGCCCCTCATTAAGCTGACTAGATAAGAC